AAGGGTTCCTGTAGATAGAGTATGTACATCTCGTGTATCGTTGTAAGGGTTCCTGTAGATAGAGTGTGTACATCCCGTGTATCGTTGTAAGGGTTCCTGTAGATAGAGTGTGTACATCCCGTGTATCGTTGTAAGGATTCCTGTAGATAGCGTATGTACATCCAGTGTATCGTTGTAAGGATTCCTGTAGATAGAGTATGTACATCCAGTGTATCGTTGTAAGGGTTCCTGTAGATAGAGTGTGTACATCCAGTGTATCGTTGTAAGGGTTCCTGTAGATAGAGTGTGTACATCCCGTGTTTCGTTGTAAGGGTTCCCGTAGATAGAGTATGTACATCCCGTGTATCGTTGTAAGGTTTCCTGTAGATAGAGTGTGTACATCCCGTGTATCGTTGTAAGGGTTCCCAGATGAGCTATGTACATATCGTTGTAAGGGTTCCCGTAGATAGAGTGTGTACATCCCGTGTATCGTTGTAAGGGTTCCTGTAGATAGAGTGTGTACATCCTGTGTATCGTTGTAAGGGTTCCTGTAGATAGAGTGTGTACATCCAGTGTATCGTTGTAAGGGTTCCTGTAGATAGAGTGTGTACATCCCGTGTATCGTTGTAAGGGTTCCTGTAGATAGAGTGTGTACATCCTGTGTATCGTTGTAAGGGTTCCTGTAGATAGAGTGTATCGTACATCCTCGTGTATCGTTGTAAGGGGTTCCTGTAGATAGAGTGTGTACATCCTGTGTATCGTTGTAAGGGTTCCTGTAGATAGAGTATGTACATCCAGTGTATCGTTGTAAGGGTTCCTGTAGATAGAGTGTGTACATCTCGTGTATCGTTGTAAGGGTTCCTGTAGATAGAGTGTGTACATCCCGTGTATCGTTGTAAGGATTCCTGTAGATAGCGTATGTACATCCAGTGTATCGTTGTAAGGTTCCTGTAGATAGAGTGTGTACATCCAGTGTATCGTTGTAAGGATTCCTGTAGATAGAGTATGTACATCCAGTGTATCGTTGTAAGGGTTCCTGTAGATAGAGTGTGTACATCCAGTGTATCGTTGTAAGGGTTCCTGTAGATAGAGTGTGTACATCCAGTGTATCGTTGTAAGGGTTCCCGTAGATAGAGTGTGTACATCCCGTGTATCGTTGTAAGGGTTCCTGTAGATAGAGTGTGTACATCCCGTGTATCGTTGTAAGGGTTCCTGTAGATAGAGTGTGTACATCCAGTGTATCGTTGTAAGGGTTCCTGTAGATAGAGTGTGTACATCCTGTGTATCGTTGTAAGGGTTCCTGTAGATAGAGTATGTACATCCAGTGTATCGTTGTAAGGGTTCCTGCAGATAGAGTGTGTACATCCAGTGTATCGTTGTAAGGGTTCCTGCAGATAGAGTGTGTACATCCCGTGTTTCGTTGTAAGGGTTCCTGTAGATAGAGTGTGTACATCCCGTGTATCGGTGTAAGGGTTCCTGTAGATAGAGTGTGTACATCCCGTGTATCGTTGTAAGGGTTCCCGTAGATAGAGTGTGTACATCCCGTGTATCGTTGTAAGGGTTCCTGTAGATAGAGTATTACATCCCGTGTATCGTTGTAAGGGTTCCCGTAGATAGAGTGTGTACATCCAGTGTATCGTTGTAAGGGTTCCTGTAGATAGAGTGTGTACATCCCGTGTATCGTTGTAAGGGTTCCTGTAGATAGAGTATGTACATCCTGTGTATCGTTGTAAGGGTTCCTGTAGATAGAGTATGTACATCCTGTGTATCGTTGTAAGGGTTCCTGTAGATAGAGTGTGTACATCCCGTGTACCGTTGTAAGCGTTCCTGTAGATAGAGTGTGTACATCCCGTGTATCGTTGTAAGGGTTCCTGTAGGATTCTCATGACGTTGTAAACGTTTCTCTATTTCATCACAGACGTGTTCAGTTGGTGACAAATCACGGGATCTTGGGCGTCAGGGTATATCACATTAACAGAGTTCTGAATAAGATAATGCTGTGCAACTCAAACAACGTTTGGTCTTGCGATAGTGATAGCGATACCACTCAGTCCTGTTGCAAAAACGCTAAAGTGGCCATTTGCAAAATCTCGTCTTGGTCCCTCACACCATTCACGTTCCAGCTTGCAGCACTTACCCTACCCCTGATACTAACACCCCACCTCCAAAACGATCCCCTTCCAGAACACGTTGCCGGATGTAACGTTCATAGTGCCACCTCTGCACAGTAGACTATGACGCTGCTCTTGCCTCGTGATTTGTTAAAACTATACCAAAATGCTCTACGTTTATGTAAGGATCAGCTTAATTATATGCTGCATCCAGTATCAGCATCCTTCCAATTCTTGTTTATTTAGGGGCGGTGAGGTAGCCTGGTCGTTAAAGCATTCGCTCCTCACGCTGAGGGCCCTGGTTCGCTTCCCCACATGGGTACAATGTGTGAAACCCATTTCTGGTGTCCCCAGACGTGATATTGCTGGAATATTGCTAAAAGGGAAGTTAAAAACTCACTCACTCACTAATTAGTTACACCGACTGTCCCATATCACAAAATATGTAAACATCTTGACTGTCCTCAGAAAATGACCCCACTCAGTGTAACTTCCTGTGACAATTATATCAACAGACAATGGAAAAATCAGTAATGACACCAGGTGTTTGCGAAAAAGGTAAGCATATCCTGCTGTACCGGCATCATATTAAGTAGGTGTCCGCTTGGGCTATAACCATTAAGTATTAACTGCACATTGCTGCAGGGCAGCACACCTGCATGGCGACGACCTGTAAAACACTAGGTTATCGATTGATCTATATACCTCCAAATCAAGTGACACGATAGTGCATTTACTGATTTTGTAAAACCTAAAAACAAGCCATAAGTCCAAAGTACAGTGAGGTTATACTGTTTGAGTAACCCATACTGTTGATTTAAGATAACAAATAATTTATCAACCCGTGCGTCTCTGATACGGAGGCAACCTTCCTAACCCTTAGGCTTATACCTTCCTGATTCGTAACAGTATGTGTTCGTTTCAATCAACGCGACAAAACCATTTCTATAATCGTACGACATTTCAGCTAAAAGCCGTGTTCATTGCACGGTACTGTTATACCTTTAGCAGGTGTTTCTGAATCGCTATCAAGCTGTGATGATACCAGGATAACGCGTGTATTGTTAGCTGGCCCTGTCCAACCAGTGGCGTCCGACACAAACACATGCAAAGGCAAATCAATGTTTCGGCTGAAATTTCACTTTCCTTATCGACTAAGTGTACCGCCACCGGATCAGGATACGGTCACCTTTACGGGAACGCCGTGTTATCATTTCTATTTAGTGGTGACTTGTAAACACGTAAACATGGTCAGAATCGTTCTATCGCTTTTATTTACTTATCGTCTATAATAGCAGATCTAGCGTTTGAGTGTGTGGGTGAGTTTGGTTTTATCTGGCAACGTTCAGAAACACAAATGGGCATTACATATTGTGTCAGTGTAGTAAATTGAACATTGGCTTGTATGTGAAAACTACTCAACCGACCAAGGAACTAAGAAATGACAAATGACCAGGACCATTTCAATGTCTAAAATAGTTTTCAAGGAACATTACATGTCAAACTGCATGTCTAGGGTAACCAAAGATGCTTATTCATACCTAGTATACAAATGAACTGTCTACTTATGTACTGTGTACTTGTGTATTAACGTTATTGATGTACTGTCGACTGATGTACTGTTGTATTAACGTTCTATGTGCCTTTTTATTGATGTATTGGTGAATTAATGTTCCGTGTGGTGAATTATGGATGTATTGTTGACAGACATACTTCTGTATTAACGTTATTGATGTGCTGTGGACTGATGTACTTCTGTGTTAGTGTTCTGTGCGCTATTTTATGGATGTACTGATGTACTGTCTTAATGTACTGTGTGTTGGTGTACTGGTGGTGGCAGCACACAGCGAGTTCGTACGTGGTGTTTTAGAAAACGGAATTTACCAATTATACTATATATTATCAACCAAATTTAAACCTCCTTGAAAGATTTTCATACTACTTGTTGCATAACGTAATGTGATACCATGCGCTTCTTGTCCAATGTCACAACACAGAAAGCAGTACACAGTTTGTCAACAGAACAGTTTCAGACCTGTGGACGAGCACATTTATATTTCGAACTGTAATGTATTTCTATCACTTGAATCAAAACTATAAGTTCACTCATACATCGTCGATAAGCTGTTCAAGCATACAATGGAGTGTGTACAGGGCTTTCTTTGAAAACGAAACATGGGCACACCTATAAGGAAGTGTTTTGATAGTTTTTTAGTGTTAGAAACTATGAGTCATACATAAAGCTTAGCAGCGAGTGATAAGAGATATTTTTTGAATTTATTCAGCACATGCCAAACTTCTGTGAGGAAAGAACGTTGTTAACAACATTTGGCGTGGACAACTGCGATCTGGACAGAGAATTGTTCGTATGACTCAAGGCGTAAAACTCCCAATAAACTACCAGTGAGAGTACCTATGCCATGAGATTATCCTCTTCACGTTCTTAAAACTGTTACATTTTATTCATTTGACATTTGATTGGTTAATTAATGCAGTTTTATTTAAGGATGAACATAATCATCAAAATTGTGCTCTTTGGTAAATCACAGAGTACTCGAATATGTCATCAGCAGTACAGAGCGAGTTCTCGATTATTGAAATCCCTGCTGTTATAGATTAACATAAGGTTATGTAAAGGTCATAATGTTAGAAACGTTAGACAAAGCAGGTAAGCGTCATCGGCATCTATAAGATGGAGAATTTCCAACTATTTCCACTAAAATCACATTCAATTTTTTTATACATTACAAGAAGAAACAATGGCGACTTACAGAGATATTTAGCAGGATTACACAGAAGTTGTCAACAGAAAGATTCTCTTGAGATAGTATTCTTTTTGTGGAAACCATTACACGTGATATGAGACAAAGCATATTTCTACTTATGTGCTAATCTCGTTTAAGTTCTTACCAGTTGTGGTGTAGAAAGCCAAGGACACCTGCAACAAAGAGATATGTATCAGACTGGCAACAACTATAGCTTATTTCATTCATATCTCGTACTGTGTGTTCAACAAACACTACACCTTACATGTTTAAACACACTTGTTCAGCTATGTATATAAAACAATTAAATAAGTAACTCCAAACAACGTATATTGATATTAAACCTTAATCCACTCTTTAAATACTTTTATACAATTATTGCAATAACATATGAGTGCGGCCTATGTGCAAATGGTCTTTTAATTATTGCTGTGGATTTAGTAGAATAATGGGGTTTTTTTTGGAAAAAGAAGTTACCTGTCCTAGAACTGCCACTAAAAGGAGAAACAGCCCTCTGAACCCCGCCATCGTCAACCGTCGTCAACTGACTGGCTCGCTCTACCCGGACAACTACTGTGTCTCTTTAGATTACTGCGCAGGGCTGTCAGCGTTACCAGGTCACATTGTTCGTTTTGGGGTTGTTGTGCTTTTTTTTCTATTATAAGTCAGTTCCTGTTCTTTGTCGGTTTTTGATATTTGTCAACTATGTTTATCAATACTCCATCTCTATATAGATTAGATCAGAAAATCCAGTGATTACTCCAATCAGTATTAATCTACCCTTGTGAACAATGGAATACACATGTCGGGCATGCCTATACATATCATTATGCATTTGTCATGTTATATTTCCCATAGAGAGCGTTGAATTCAATGGTGAAGCCACGTCATGATATACATAAAATATCGTCGAAAGAGCCTAATCACAACTTATTCGTTTACTAAGCATTAAGATTTCTTTTGAAAAAATCTCAGGTGGAAGAAAATATTGCTTATGTACTTCTATTAATAACGTATTACAAATTTGGCATTTGATATAACTGAACATTTCATTGAATGCTCATTCGGTTGCGTAAATCAAAACCGTCCACTCGTATATTTTCAGTTATACCATGAAAACGAGAAGGAACTAGAAACAAGATGACCTTGTGGGTTGTCATCTTGTATCTTTAAGCACTTGACGTCCACGATGACGTAAGCGATTCGCAGAACAGAATCCGTATTCCTTCATTCTGGTGTGGAGATTTCTTTTGAATCATGCCTTATTTTTAGATGTTTTCAAACAGCAAGTGTTTTTCTTAACCTTCTAGCATAAGAGAGTGTGAGAATCTGAGAAAGTTTTAATCCCCAATATGGCATATGTTGCATTTGCCCACTATATAAATGGCATTATGTATTCAGAATCTCTCTCGCAAAATAGTATTCACGTTAAATTCTTGTAAATTCATGTTTTTCCCTCACACAGTTGATATGACAAGTTCAATAAATAGCCTTTTTCACAAAATATCTTTAAAGTTTATTCATACGCTTTCTTTCAACCAAAATAAAAGAATAGATTTCTTGAGCGTTCGTTTGCCCTTCTTTTCATTCTTAATTCATGCATTGATTGTCAGGTTTAATCTGTTTATCTGTTCCAAGAAAACAATAGACAGATTGTAACGGGAAGATACTTATCGCCAGCCCGACCCACATATGACAGGCGGAATAGTACAGATAAGGATTTCCATGGAACAACGCTGTCCTAGTTAGGGAGAAGTTTAGACCATGTTCCATATTATTGTTTTCGTTATTCTAGTCATTGATGGATTGTTCGACAGAGGTAGGTTGGTAAACGAGTATGGACGAAAGGGGGTAAATCCTAATGATTCTTGTGACAAACTTCTATTTGCGTTCCTTTGATATATATATATATATATTAGATATTAGTTACTGTGTTCATAGCCCTACCAGTGAATACCTCCCACTCCTGCATGTATATATTCTGTGGTATACAGGCATATATTCAACCTCATTCAATTCTGCATTTGCATGTATGGCTTGTTTCTTTATTGGACCCCACATTCAGCAATGATTACAGCAATATGATGGCTGTCTGTAAATAATCGAATCTCATCCAGCCCACCCAGTGTTCGATATTATGAGCAACTATCCACGTCTTCTGGATACTATGGAAGTCGCCGATCCCCTGGGTAGATTAGTATTCTTATGAGTGAAAGATAAGATATTAATTCTGAGAACATTCTATATAATTATATCATACGAGATATATACTGAGTCAAAAAAGAAACTTCACAAAATGTAATTTGAAAATAATGAATACTTCTTCTCTGATGATACATCTATGTATCCGAAATGGGATCCCTATCTTTCGACTCTAGAAAAACGTTAGCAAAACCCACTCAAACCCATCCATTCGTCGTGCAAATGACGTTAGTGCCAAATCAGGTTTTGCAAGTGCAGTCGATCACATGATCTTCGCATCGAAGTTTTCTTCATATGCACGTGTTTGCATTGGCCTCAAGAATTGAAAAAACACTTTTAAACCACAGTTCTAACGGTACTTGAAATGCCACGATTGTCAAATGTGCAACGTGAATGTGCCGTTGGCATGTTGCAAGCGGGAAGATCAGTTATTGACGTCGCAAGAGCAATGAGATGCAGCCGTCGTACTGTGTATGACTTGCGAGGTCGTCTACAACAAACTGGCACCACTTCTGATCGCCCAAGGACGGGTCGTCCACGTGTGACGTCACGAGCAGAAGACCGTCAAATCGTCCTACGTCACCTACGTGACAGATTTCTGCCGGCTACACGAACCAGGGCTGAGATGTTTAGAGGTCGACTGTCCTCACAGACCATTTGAAATCGGTTGCGGGCTGCCAATCTCCATTCTCGACGTCCATATCGTGGGCCAATATTGACGCCGTTTCATCAACGTCAACGTCTGCTGTGGGCCCAAAGTCACCTCCGATGGACCCAGAGAGACTGGAATCGAGTCGTCTTTAGCGATGAATCCAGGTTTACCCTCAGATTCGCGGACGGCAGGCATAGAGTCTGGAGACGACGTCGTGAAGGGTATGCCCAATGTTGTGTACAGGAAGTCGACAGATTCGGGGGCCGAAGTTGCATGGTGTGGGGTGTTTTCTGTGGGAACAACCGTTCCCGACTTCTGGTCATCCGTGGAAACCTCACAGCTGCTGCTTACCGCGACCAGGTGCTCACCCCCTGAACTCGTTCCATTCATGGCGGCTCATGTTCCAGGTCTACAGTTCCAGCATGATAATGATCAGCCGCATACCGCATACACGAAATTTCCTTCAAAACGCTGGAATCAACGTCATGGACTGGCCATCGAGGTCCCCTGACCTTAATCCAATAGAGCACGTTTGGGATGCACTTGAGAGAAGGCTTCGTGGTCTTAGGAACCAACCTCAGAATTTGCAGGAACTTGGCGCTGCCTTGCAAGAGCAATGGCGCAGAATCCCCAACCACGTGTTCACAAGCATCAGGCAGTCGATGAGGAGACGGTGTTTGGCAGTGGTGAATGCGCGGGGCGGCCATACACGATATTGAACTTGATATATTCTTGTGACTTGACATTCTGTATACCCATGTTTTGGAACGGCGGTGTAGCCTAATGGAACTGATTATGGCACTGTCAGTGTATCGAGTACATCACACAGATCTCAGCAATGAAATAATAACAATTTAACCATCTTACCATCTCTTGTTCTTTTATAGTGCCCTGAAGAAAGAATGTGAAGTTTCTTTTTTGACTCAGTATATATCTGACCTACTGGTGAAAAGGCGGACAATTCACAGTCAGTATACAAACAGACAGAGAGATTATACAAATGGCAATCTGTGCATTACTTCCAGGTTGTTGCAACAGTCCACCGTCCTTCAAAACAGGAAGTAGCGTTCTCGTCAAGCCGGAAAATACCCCAGTCGGTAGGTTAGAGAACACTCACACAAATAACACGATCTGTCCCCTGTGTGAAGGTAAATAGAGTTAAAGCTGCCTCTTGCTTTTCAAATAACATTTTAAGGAAAACTAAAATTTATCGCACTGGGGAAGAGAGAGAGAGAGAGAGAGAGAGGAGAGAGAGAGAACAACCGTTAGTGCGATTCTATTATGCTAGATTTAATACTAACCTTGGGTTTTATTAGAGAGAAACCAGACCAAGTGCCTTTGGTAGTTTATGGTGTAGCAAAATCACATTTAGTCATCAGTTTATGATCAATGGATGTTTATGATTATACCAAAATTGGACGAAGGAAAAGGATACATCTACATATCATAATATGTAGGATGTCTAACCCATGAGCGCAGAGCCGACGTTCGGGGTCGCTCTGCCGAGGTGTTTTCTGTTGTAAAAGTTTGGAACCGTAAGCCATGAAATAGTGTACTTAGCATGGTTGGATTACATGATGTCGTAGTCGACGTAATTCGACGACATGGGGCTTGATATGGCGTCGTCTTCGGACAAACAGCGGAAGAAGGGCTCCAGTGATATTTTTGATCGCCTGTAGTATATTGTTTCTTATATATTCTTATTATATGTATTACGTATATAATTTCTTCATTTAGTGTTTACATGATAGTCGGCTTTTCCTCTGGAGGCTGGTCACATGACCGTGAAACTGACGTTCATATCCGTATGAACGACATATTTTGACGTTCACACGTTTTCAACGAGACTGTATTCTTGAAATTACGTAAACACTGAGGGACTACTTCCACATTCCTCGGATACCCCTTCGAATTCCCTAACACGAGTAGATACAGAGAGTTGTTTCAGAACATTAAGGCCATTTAATCTTAAAGGTCACAAACTGGGATAAGTGAGAGTGTTGGCCTGCATATCTGCTCAAGAATATCTTCTCTCCGATCGAACGAAACGAAGACATCCAAATTACGGAGGGGATCGGCGTGATTGTCACGTGATTGTCCAGGCCAATCTATAAATTTCCTTAGTATGTTTGACATATAATCACTAAATGATCGGCCAAATGATTAGCAATGACCGACACTTGTACTAGCCACATATCAACAACCTCGGAAATCTCTCCCGTCACGTCTAATATGTCGGCCATTGTTACGTCCTGCATATGCTATATTACGACGCTATATTGTCACTGACTGACTGACTGACTGACAAATGTAGTTCGCAATTAACTCTTTTTCATCTACAAAAGATGTTCCTGAAGAGCACGCTGAGCATTCATTCGCTCTGAAGAACTACCTTATTCCTCGACGCAGTTGTTGTTGTAACTGGCTGTCTGTGACTGCAGTGACATAACCCCGCGGCATGAGAGATGTTTTTGTAACTGGCTGTGTGTGACTGCAGTGACATAACCCCGCGGCATGAGAGATGTTGACAACATCTTGCAACATGTCTTCCTTGTTTATAATATTTAGCTATTCGACAGACTATTTCACAGATCGATAACTGATGTGAATGCACCATCTTGTTTGGCAGTAATGAAAGTAATGTTATTACACAGGAGTTAGATAACGGGAGAGACACAGTTATGACATCAGCCCATTCAGAACGTTTGCTTTATCGCTGGTTACATTACAGCCTTTGATCTTTTGTTGAAGCATCTGATAATGATACATTATTGCATTTAGTATCGATGGGTTTCTGAATCAATTTAATATTAATCTTTAGAGGACTGCGGTATCACTATATGTAACGGGTCTTTTGTTCAAGAACATATTAATAGTTCCATGTATCAACTTTCTGTTAATATTTTAAACCTCTCCTTAGGCGTAAACATGAAAGATAACCACACAGAACCAAGGAGTTATTTGTATTGTAAAATTGGATTATTTACTTGTAGCCGGAAGCCTCAAGGTAATCTCTGTTCAAATGTTCCTATATGATTTTTACTAGTACTAAAACTGTATATATGAGGTGAGACTCAAAGACACTATCTGTCTGTCTGTCAGGTTCCGTGTTGCTTACCCTCACAGCCTCTGACAGTGACGGTCCCTCCGACTTGGTTTTCACAGTTGGGGATACTGCGACGGGGGACCTGGTCAAGCTGGACCACACAGTCAGGAAGACTAATAATGAATGGACAGTGGATGTCGTCCTCAAAACAGATTTGGACAGGGATTTTGTAAATAATTCTGTACAAACATATGATAACGATATCGCTCGTGGTCAGTCCTTTCCTCAAATATACACACACAAACATTAATCAAGCACCCTTTCTCTCTATCTTCAACATGTTGATGTATATTCTTTAGAAACCGCATTCCGCATATTAAATTAGAATTGTAACATACTTCATTTCGGAAGAAAACAAACACTGAAATTGAAATTTGGTAACAATTTGCTTGCAATAATATCAACAATGGCGGAAGGTATTGCCACCATGGGTACCAACTGGGCCCAGTTTCACAAAGCTCTCGCAAGCCAAAGATCTCGTAACTATTCTCGTAGCATTCGTACCTCTTAGTATAGAATAGGAGGTACGAATGCTACGAGAAAAAATTACGACATCTTAGGCTTACTAGAACTTTATGAAACGGGGCCCTGACATGCACACAATTCTCAAATACTGATTGTTGTAATTGTATGAAGCACTACTGAGGAACACATCAGTACCGAGTCTGCACCAGGCCAGATGTTCCTATCTGTGTCTGTCTGTGAGGTAAAGACGTCTGATGGGACCCCGACCCAGACAGTGTTGGTGTTGAGTTGGACTCTGACTCTCCACGGACCGTGCAGTTCCTCGGTATGGGTCATGGGATTGCGATCCTATATTTCACCAGTCACAAGTTGACTAATACCAATGTTGTTACTCTTCAAGTTAGCACCGATGTTGCGACAGAACATACTTGCGTCATGCTTGCCAATAACTTGCCATTTGTAAAAGTTTACGTCTTGTCATGGCACGAAAAGTTAACTTGTATTACTGTCTTATATTAAATCATTTCAGAAAACTGTAGTGGCAATTAAAGGTGTACCCCAATGCGAACATGGGGGCAATAGCTTCTGGGATATTGTGTGAAGTACGTGCTTTACATGTGCATTCCAGTATGGTAGGTTAAGATCGCCTGTTTAGACCAAATTGTTGGATATTGCCCTTGGATACAGATGGTGCTTAATTAATGTCAAAGTGAAGAAACGATTCTTAAACCATGTGATCATGATTGATGCTATATATACATACTGAAAAAGCAGGTGCCTGTGCTTTTGCGTGAGTTGAGTTGATATAACTCAATATCAATATCATTGATGAAATCTATAAAAAAAATAAAATGATCATGCATTTGTCTTCAGCATTCTTCTGTACGACACTTGAAGTTTGATGTCACGGACGGTATCTACAAGGTACTGGTGATAATATATTATTGACAAAATTCAGCTGGTCACTAAAAATGTAAACTGTTGTTGTATATAATAATATATTGTTATACGTACATTTTGTTATTTATATATATATATATATTAGAAGCAGTAAATTCTGTGGCTGCCAGTTTTGTTTCAATGCTTGTTACTTTGTGCCGTGATGTATCCGTGTACTTGTTTGGTCTGATATGACTGTAGGATGTGTCCACATTACAGTTCTGTGTCTCATGTTATCATACTGGCATTGTACTTTGATATAAATCAATTTCAGGTTCAAATGAGGTGTAATTTAATCATTACGGATATAAACGACGAAACTCCCCACTTTCTCAACCTTCCACAGAACATCACGCTGTCAGAGGTTAGTGCATCTTATGTGATACATTAACATCCGAATATCTCCACTACATCTTATTGTCACCATGTACGTATTGATGTATATGTGTTTGGCATGTCTAGACCAGTTATGTAAGGAGGGGGATCGTCCTCCAAAACAGAATTAACATATCTTGTAGGGTGGGGATCGTCCTCCAAAACAGAATAAAGGGTGGTGAGGTGAAACGTGTTTTTAACGTTGTATTAAAGGTTATGACTTTTTTTGTCTTTCAGTGGCATTTAGAAGTTGTACATTGATGTCCAAGATATTTTTATGTCATAGTCCTAACTGCCAGTTCACCTGATGAAGGGACCTGGAATGGTCTCGAAACGTCGTGAGAGAAATTAAAAAAGAAGTTAAATCCATAAAAATATCTTGGACATGACTTTTTTTTGTTCTGACGAACATGCACATGTGTTGGTGGTGGTGGTGTTGTTGTCGTTGGTGTTGGTGTTGGTGTTGTTGTTGTTGTTGTTGTTGTTGTTGTTGTGGTGGTGGTGGTGGTGGTGGTCGGTTGGTGGTGTTGTTGTTGTTGTTGTTGGTGGTGGTGGTGGTGGTCTTGGTGGTCTTGGTGGTGTAAATAATGGTGGTGATGGTAGTGGAAGGGCCTCTGAGATACTATGGACGACCTATTAAGACAAAGGTAACTGACCCCTATCCATGGTACAAGCACCACCTCATCTTTCTAACCAATACTAGATGGGTATTCTAACTATTTTGTTCCGTTATTACATGCTTCTTGTAGTTAGGGTAAGGTCTGAATAAGTGTTCCAATGTTTCAGACAACTGCTGTTGGTAAGGTCATCTACCAGGTGAACGCCACGGACGCTGACGTCGGTATTGGGGGAATGATCACGTATTCACTCCAGGTATCTACACTACTCATCATCTCCTACCGTATAATCTGTTAGATGGGGGAGGGGTGAAATACTAGTTGATCTACCTATTTACCTGATAATCAAGTAATATATTTGAATCCGTCAATCCCTGAATCAACCAACAAATCAATGAACCAGTCAACCAATCAAGAAGCAATCAAGCAGGAAATCGAGCAGGCAGTCTTAGATATAATCAATACCTTTATCACCGTGCTATGTAATAATGCAATAACATATATATTGTAATATTGCATACCCTGGGGTAGTTTGTCTTACAGTCCCTTCCAAACACACTTCCCTGCACTGCAAAGGTCCTAAATGTATCAAGCCAAGAGTTTTCCACCTCCTTAGGGGTCCTTTAATGTACAGTTGTTTGTCTCTTTCAGATAAAGAACTGTATATTGGCAGAGTGGGCGTTAATCTAACATTAATGTGGTAATAGAGCTTGTTTAAATGTTAACCTTAAGGTGCCTCCCTTTGTCACATAGTTTTACTTTTATGTAAATGTCCAACTGTTTATAAAAGCAGAACATTCCGTTACTACAAGAGCGGGAGAAACAATGTCTCCGGTTCACATTCTCCAACCATTTGCTGGAGATGGACACCACACAATGGACATAACGCCTTTAACTCAACTAGGTATAGTTGAGTCACTCACTGCAACAAAAACTACCAGGACCTGACAGACTATCTCACATATATCCTCACCCATGCTAATCCCCGTGGGTCGAAGTCGTGTTTGTCAACCCAGGCACCTGACATACGTGCACAAGTTGGCCAGCTATCATTGGCCCAGAGATTATGAGTGCCGGATGTGTGCACACACAGCTATTCTGATTTTACCTCAGTACCTCTGATAAAGGACGAGTGTTGTGTTGTTGTGAGACCTTATCGCACTGTGATATTTTGAACGAGTTTTAAGATTAGTTCTGATGTCACCTGTTGTTATCACAAGGATTAGCAAGCTATAGAACATCCAGATTACACGGCGAGCATGTAACTGCATGTGTCATTATGCTTCCCCAAAGCGCTATGTAACAATACATTCTCATATGGCAAGCTGGAATTAGTTGTATTTGTACTGATCTTGTTTCAAGCAGTGTGAAATACGTTATGTAAACTCTGAACCATTCGTGCGTGCCTTGACATTTAACATATGAATGGCACATGCAGTGACATTAAATAAACGCCTTATCTCTGAAAACATATACTACTAGATCTCATAGAGACAAACAACTATCCAACATTAAAAAGGACCTCTAAGGACTTGGTAAACTCTAAACTGGGTTCATTTTAGACGTTTGCAGTACTGGGAGGTCTAGACAAACTACTTCAGCAAATGAATGTGTCAATCAAATATTTCCATTTTGTTTCGCAGATTTAAGTTATTTTGGAGTATGAACTTAGACGAAATAGATCCGATGCACTTTTTGCATGGATCTCTATTCAAACTGTTTGTAAATTTCTAATTGAAATTCTGCCTGTATAGGACAAAGATTAATATATGAAAGAGACATAACAATTGATGCCTCAGATTGCCAAATGGGTAGGATGTCTTGGCAATGGGTTTGTTCTGTAGTGAGAAGACTAGACGGTCTATAAACCACACAGCCAATTTTTCAATAACTATTATCAAATTGCGTGTATTGCAAATATCTGCACCTTTCCTTGTTTCTGAATAAAATAGAAACAATAAGTATACAGGAAGACATTTTGTCAGGTGTTAACAAAAGACCCGCCTGGGGTCTATACATACATATGTATATGTGTATATGCATGCGTGTATGTGTGTGTGTGTGTGCATGCGTGCGTGCGTGCGTGCTTTCGTGTGTGTGTGTGTGTGTGTAGTTCATGTACTGTTGAAGTGATGTTCATTTTAATTCCCCCTAGACAAAATAAATACTTGGAGATATCTTTTCCTTTGAAGATGTTTCTGGTCCGTGAGACTTGAGGTAACATGTCTGCTATTAAATGTATGTGTTATCAGTTGTCAGATGGAACGACCACGCCCTTTCATATAGCAGCAACAACAGGGGAAATTACTCTTGGAGGCAAACTGGACTTTGAACAGAGGACTTCGTACGGCTGTAACATCACTGCAACGGTAGCTGACTCCTTACTTCATTACCCATATAGGGATCTTGGTCACAACTACCTGGCTAGTATCCCAGCGTATAGTAGGTGTGGGTAACATGTAGAATCAGTGTTCTGTGTAAGTTGACATTGTATGTCATCGTGGTACTGTGCCAGCTGCGACAGGATACAACATTCATCCACCGTCTACTTCACACTAGATGTAGCAGAAACATAACTGGTTCGAGGTGTGTGTTTTATTATAGGAGTTTACGCTTCATTACACAAGACAAAAAAAAAATGACACGAAAAGAAAACAATCTGCACTTCTGTTGAACCATAATCTCACAAAAGACTTTTTATCGATTTCTTCAAGAAACGTATTTTATACAAAAGTTTATCATAATGATCGACTACGAAAAAATGCAACTAGCTTAGTAATTTCCAATGGTGAGACGCCATTGTTGAACTACACAATACCACCAACCACCCGTAGTTAACTTGTCTCCGCTGTAGCAACAGTTTATAAATATAACACTCACGCATGTCGCCATTCAAGTTATATGTAAATCAGGACTATGAACATAGCAGATCAAACGAAAATGTTTATGGTAGGGTCATATGTTTCAGTTTCAGGATTTCATTTGACCAACATAGGCGGATCCAGAGGGGACTGCACCCCAACCCCCATCCCCTTGTCCTGAAAGTTTATTAAATGACCAATGAAACTCTCGTGAAAATGAAGTGTGCACCCCCCCTTTCTCAAGAGTGTGCAAACCCCTACCCCACCCCACCTCCCCTACCCCTACCCCCATTTCTCGAAAAGCTGTATCCGCCTCTGGACCAGCATGCAATTTTCTCTAAACGATAGCCATTCATGTGACTCAACCCAACAAAGGTACTAGAATCTGTACTTTACAAGGAAAGTGTAATCCCAAATATAACATATGTGACAACACGAATGATAGTTTACGTTTGAAGCTAGTTCATGAATGTGACCCGTGTCACCGTATTCAAAGTCATCCATTTCCGTCCCTCTTCCCCGGATGTTCGCGAGTCCCTGTATTCGATAACGGACTAGAGGAAGGGGTTGCCTCGTGGTGCTAATGGAGGCAACGAGTTGTGCAGAGTTATACAGTATATAATCACATGTTGCAGCATCAGTGGACGTTTGAATTCCATTGCATCCTGTAACCGGCTGAACTACGATTCACATCAGTTCAACCACGCATTGCCCATGTGTACAGCTCGACACGCTCTTTCACGTCAAATGGGCTATTGTGGCGTATATATTTCTGACGTTTACAGGATGGCGGTGGCCTTACGTCGACGTCAACGTTGGACGTTACTGTGACAGATGCCCAGGACACCCCGCCTGTGTTTGAGCGACCTTCGTACACCGTCCATATATCAGAGAACGCCCATGTGGTAAATATGTTAAAGCAAATCTCTGTGTAAATAAGTTGTTCAGGCCGCTGTCACAGATTTAGATTTACAACACTCAAGTCAAGGAGTTATTTCCATATGCAGCAGGCGTGAACAACGCCAGGGGTAATTTAATTTAAAAAAGCAGTCTTGCATGTTTATTTTCTATCGAGCAGATATTAAAGGGTTGAGCTAATGTGAAAATGTATGAGAAATACAGGATATGAATGAGGCCAGCATCACTGTGTGTTTGTCCTTGTTAATGCATGATTAAGTTCTGCTGTGGCGTAATTTAGTCGGACACTTTGCGACGGTGGTCGATCAGTTGTCTAATGTACAGCGTAGAATCTGCTCGTGGAGGATAGCATCTATACCCATATTTGGTAGTTTTAAAGGAAATATCATGCACAGGTGGATCTTGGAGTTTACATATTTCAATAATGCAACGAAAGGATCTAATTAATCATATTAAATTTAACGAGTGAAAATACTTCTGAAATCGAGGAATTTTAAAAGGGCTTTATTGCACTCATGCATTGCACTGATGCTTCTACCCAAGACATTACACGCCCTAACAGCAACTCCCGTGACTCTGGCTCTGACACTTCAGTCGCAATAAACTGAAACATTTTTTACTGCAAAAGTGTCGCTAAAGACTATGGCGCCATTTCTAATTTTCGTCGTATGTAAACCCGTGAAGATCCGGGTTAGAATTGGTCTTCAGCAACCCATGCCTGTCGTAAGTGGCGACTAAAGGGCTCGGGTTGTCAGGGCTCGCTGACTTGACTCACACATGTCATCGTACCCCAAATGCGTAGATCGATGTTCATGCTGTTAATCACTAGATTGTCTGGTCCAGACTCGATTATTTACAGACCGCAGCCATATACATGTAGCTGGAATATCGCTCAGTACGGCGTTAAACAACAACCAATCAGTCAATCAATCTCCGTATGTATCGTTTTACCACCGTCGGTGATGTATTGGCCCAGGGTAGCAGTGTTGTGACAGTGAGGGCAACAGACGGTGATACCACACTGCAGAACAAGGTGGTGCTGGGCTTAGAAGCAGGCAAGTTGCAGTCAATACCATTACTCAGAAAACAGCCAGTCAGTGAGCATCCACACAATAATAATCAGTTCTTAAAATGTCAATCAAAAAACAACAATGTTACAATCAGAATCTATACTTTTACATCCAGTCGGTTTGTACTTTGAGCTTTCCGGGCTATAGATTTGCAGTTATTACTGCAAAACAATCAACAGTTCTAATAAACCACAGGGGCTGTGGTGTTTCACTGTACAGTATGCCCAGACTTGCCAGGGTCATGCATGCACAAACAATGTCTTTAAAATGTGTGTCAGAGAGACCCGCTGTGATAGTCTGTGATAATACTTTTCTCAACACATCTTTACTTGCTAATTATCACGTTCAGGCATCCGAAAAAAATCAAGTTTTTCAAATTACCTTGTACCTACAATGGTTTTTGCTCGCTTTGCTGTTTTCTTCATATTGACACAAATCTCTTATCACGTCAAGAACAATGCTAACAGATACTCTAGCTGCAATACGATGACCTAAAACGCGTTGTTTTGACCAAGAGATTCTACAGTTGTGTAATAACCCATGATTGGCCTTTCAAGGCCCTTGTTCCAGTATCTTCAAACTTGACGCTGACACAGGGGAGATAACTCTCACATCAAGTCCTGATAGAGAGGACGTCTTATTCGAAGATAACAATGGCGCCTGCATGCTGAATGTCACGGTGAGAGAAAGACTGTAAATGTTGCGAGGCGAATTAATTCAGGGTTGGCTTTAGAAAGTAATGGTTGGTTAAATGTTACGGCGCCGGACTATCTTGTGCAACAGTAAACAGTTACTATGCCGTCTGTAAAGGGTCACGTGTGAAATCAAGTACAGTCAACCGTGGTGTCGAAGTTGAAGGGACCTACGTAAATACTTCGAGTAATCCGAGGTTCGACACAAACACAACGTGCTGACTAAACAAGGGATAATAATAATGATAAGAGTGCTTTTAGAGCGCCTTATCCACATTACTGAGGGACATGCCCTAAGCATACAGGTCACATTTCATTATAACCCCGAATAACCCAAGCTGCCTGTTAGGCGCTAGAAGGTTATTGTCACATGATTTATCCCACCGGGTACCCATTTTCTGCTGGGTGATCAGAGTCAATTTTGAACAAACTCACTTGCCTAAGGTGAGACCACATGTATCACATATGCTTCGTTGTGGGGGAGGACTGAAGCCCTAGAAACTCTCAGGAGTCAAGCTGCCAAACTCGGTCACCCATCCAAGGGCTCTGCGCGCCCAACGTTGCTTAACTTCATCTGATTTGTGTCCTGAGCTCTTTGCACAGGACCACACGGGATCAAGCTTTGATTTCGACACAACGGTAGTTGACTGTAGCTTGGTACGACGATTACTCATGGAAGTTATCCGATCCTCGACGCTTGTCAGTATAATACCTTGTCTACCCAGTATGGGAGAACAATGCCAGACGATCCACAAGGCAATGTTTAGTTGTGAGCTTGTGAAATTTCGTATATATAGTGAATCTTTATAAGAATGTCATATCTTTATTTTAGTATGTTAAAACCGTTTAAAGATTGTTGGGAAATAATCTAATCTTCATCCAAATAATGTGCGTTTCGAATAACAGTCATGTCATTCCACCTGGTACAGGCTACTGAGGACAGTGGGGACAGGCTGCAGTACGGGTTGTCGTCGGCATGGGTAATGGTGATAGTGTTAGTCACTGACATCAACGACAACCACCCTACTTTTAACGCTGGGAAGGTAAAGGCGTACACGGCGAGAGACGTCTCCGCTGGGGCACCAGTTGTCTTTACACAACCCCAGAGTCTCACAGTGTTGGACGAGGATAGGGTAAGGCAGCAATCATCTACTTAAAATATAGCGGTTTATCACTTGGTCTTTGAAAACAAAACAAAATCTGTTTACGGTGCCATTAAGCATCTCAGCAGTATTACTCTCATAACTCAGGTGCATTATTACAGACTTAGTCAGACAGACAGACAGATTCAATAAAGAGGCATTGGGCCTATGATACATACTTTCCTGGTGATATCATATAATAAATGAGTGAGAATATATCTGCAGAGCAGGCACAGGTATGCAAATTTGTAATAAATATTATATATACAACAAAATGCATTTATAAATTGTTGGTTATAAATAATGAGCCTTACTGTGTACCAGCAATAACTGCAAGGCTAAGTACTTGTGGGTAGTGTTGGCTCTCAGTTTCCATACTATATATAAAAACATACGTATACTATGCAAGGTAGAAACATTGCGTGATGTCAGTAAATTCACAATATCTTGCGGCACATAATGAGATGTAACATAAGGTATAAACGGGTATGTATATTTCTTTCTAAGAATATCATAGGTTTCACAGACAAACAGTATGTGAAGCTCATCTTCAATAAAATATTTTTTCTTAAATTTACAAAATAAACAAACCCTAGGGCCTATCCTTAAATTCTGACTTTTTGTATCTACCAGTTTCTATAGCACGTTCTACCAGTTTCTTGAAGATCTTAAGTAATAAGGAATATCACCTGACAAATATGATTTTACGTTTAACAATGATTTGAACTGTCTATAGTAGTTACACTTGGAGGAAGTGCTTAAGTTTGAAATCCATAATTGTTGCAAATTGTCTGATAATCTTTGTCTAAATAAAGAGATGGAAGATTTTATGCAACCAGCCTGCTGGGTAACCCAGACAAACCAAACCCAAATCTAAATACGATATCTCGGATGTGTGTGACCCAGGTAGTACGGCCTACATTATCAAGGGACATCTGATAACACTGGTTTTGTAGCCTGTTAGGAGGTAGAGTAATGAGTCGACACCAGTAGTTAACTGCTCTGGTCAGGTATACCAGCTGTAGAGGCAAACGCTCATATTCCCCCAATACCATATTATCTGATGTAGATATACCAACTCTAAGAATCCACTTACAGAATTTCAACTGTGCTCTTTCTACGTCTTTACGATAGTATATACCCCATAATTCTGAGCCATAACACACAATTGGCACGATCATACTATCAAATATCTTTAGTAAATCCTTACATGGCGATGGCATACCTCCAACCCTCTTAGAATACCCGTAAATTGACAGACTTAGTAAATATACTAGTAACGTTAGCTTTTTCTGTGAAATTGCCCGTCCCTTACCTGAGTGACCTTCGTGCCCTACCTAAGTAATGTGGCCTTGGGTACTGCTGTTCTGGTCTGCCTCCGTGGCCTTGTGGATAGAGCGTCTGCCCTTAGTGCGGAAGGCTGGATCCCTAAGACCGCCATACTTTTTCAACAAAGCAACAATACGCTATCGGTTTGACACGGTGTATTAGCAAGCATGTCGAAAGACAACAATGAATCGATATAGTGATTTGAGTAACTGAAAAATCCAAGCCTAACTGGAAATCATTTTGTATGGACTTTTGGACAAATGTTGATGTCAAACATAAGAATATTTCTAACTCTGTTATATCGGACCCGTAACTAGGTCACGGCACGTCGCGAGACCTTAGTCCTCCCGGTGACAAACGACGTACACTTGGTCCGGTCTAGTAAAGTCATATTTGGCGGTCGCGCAATTTGGAACCAGAACTGGTTCTTGAATATATGCTTGTCACCGGAAATCTGGTACTGGAAGTAAGCTGGGCCCCGTCTGGCAGCTTAGTATCGGGAGAAGCGCCTCTCGAGACTTACAGGTCCTATTCTCATTCTCTGATGCTGGCTGCTGTTGTGGTCAATGTACAATGCCACTGGCCTTCCCTCACGTTGGGCAACGTCCAGCACCAGAAGAAGGAAACAGAGGCAATACAGTGTAAACCACGAAATCTATAAGTTTGTCATTTGTTCGGGTCGACATTCTTGGATTCTGTTGTTAACGCAAGTAACGTTTCCGTATCTGAAAACTGGTTTTGAATAATCAACTATCAACCATGGAGCAAAACAGGATGCATGTTTCCGTAATGTCCATTCAGTATTACTCACCCATGACAGTTGCACCTCGAGACATCGAACCAGCATTATCGCCACTTCACAACAATGGATCCTAATCAACAGTCGACCAGATCTTAAAATCGTCAGAGGAAGTGTAATTGGACCAAATTATCAAAAAACACATACATATAGAATGTACAGATTCTAGAGAATGAAAGATCTTGTTACTGGTAGTACATTACAAGTTGTTCACTGATCTCGAGAAGGAGATGGGCTAATGTACCCTCGAGGGCACATCAACCCATGGGCCCCGAGGGACCAGTGAACAACGTATTTATCTTACCGAAAACCTCAATGATAATTTTGAACTGTTTGAAGCACAGGTATCGGATCATAGTATGGGGTACCAGACGACAAGAAAAACATACGTGATTCATTCCGTACATACGTGATTCAATGTTAATCGAGATAAAGAATTACTACTACGAAGTACCAACTGAGTTCGGCATTCCAAGCGGGGTACATGTTACTCGCTTGTAAGCGGGGTACATTTATGTGTGAGGCAAGATAATGTTGGATGGAAGAACGTATTACTATAGTACATTGTTTCATGCGAGAACGTGTTACTTGTACATTGTTTGATGTAAGAACGTGTTACTTGTTGCACATTGTTTGATGTAAGAACGTGTTACTTGTTGCACATTGTTTGATGAAAGAACGTGTTACTTGTTGCACATTGTTTGATGTAAGAACGTGTTACTTGTTGCACATTGTTTGATACAAGAACGTGTTACTTGTTGTACATTGTTTGATACAAGAACGTGTTACTTGTTGTACATTGTTTGATACAAGAACGTGTTACTTGTTGTACATTGTTTGATGCAAGAACGTGTTACTTGTTGTACATTGTTTGATGCTAGAACGTGTTACTTGTTGTACATTGTTTGATGCTAGAACGTGTTACTTGTTGTACATTGTTTGATGTAAGAACGTGTTACTTGTTGCACATTGTTTGATGTAAGAACGTGTTACTTGTTGAACATTGTTTGATGTAAGAACGTGTTACTTGTTGCACATTGTTTGATGCTAGAACGTGTTACTTGTTGCACATTGTTTGATACAAGAACGTGTTACTTGTACCTTGTTTGATACAAGAACGTGTTACTTGTTGTACATTGTTTGATACAAGAACGTGTTACTTGTTGTACATTGTTTGATGCAAGAACGTGTTTCTTGTTGTACATTGTTTGATGCTAGAACGTGTTACTGGTAGTACCAATCATACTTTCAAAACGTTACCGTTCAATCTTGTAGAGCAATATTCCTGCCTATCCAGCGTTTGCATAACTGTCAACTCTCACGCATTTGGCGTGAGTCTCACGCTTTATTGACAAATGTCACGCTCTCACGCCTCCAAATAATAATCTCACGCATATCTGGTAGCCAAAAATAATTTCAAAATTAATACGCATTTTCGTTCGTTTTTGCGTAAAGTTGAACATTGAAAGAACGCCTGAATGAACGAAGTACTAAAACGATGTTTATGCGAATGATTAGGCTTATTATTATTAATTAGCATGCATCTTTTAGTGTCAAAATAATGCCACCAGAAGGCTCCAAATGCTCCTGAAAATCACTAAACCTTATTTTCGGGGGCGGGGGGGTTCGCCCCCCAAAGACCCCCCACCAGGGCGTCGCCCTCGACATGACCAGGGACCTGAGGTCCCTGGACCCCCGCTTATTTTTTTCAGTCTCACTCCAAACCATCTTTAGGGGTTGACAGCTCTGCGTTTGGTGTCTACATTTCACCACTTTTCCGGTACAACCGAGCAGGGTCTTTCTGCAAAGTTATTTGATCATCATTATCATCAGCAAAGCTTTATAAACGTTGAAACTGTTGCCTGGCAACAAAGTCAAATGTACCCTTTCAGTTTCTTCTTGTCTACCAACAGGGTCCAAATGGCATCATGGTTATCTATCTACGGTCTATCGGCAACAAACACGACACGGTGTTTCAAGTATCGCCCAAGAGGGCATATTCCCAGGCACAGATCTTCCTCAATGTGATCAATGCATCCGCACTGCAGACATACCCATACGACTTGATTACAGTTGAGGTGGGTTAAACAGGCACGGTAGTTACTTCTAGAACATGCTTCCTTCCTTATTTCCACATCCTTCTTTATGATAATTACATCTCCGTAGCTTTCTACGTATTATCACAGCATTGTCCTTATAACCTTAACATCTCCGTATTTCGTCACATCCTTACATCTCTATCCCATTATGTTCAAATCATTATTCCATCATATCGTTATCATCGACTTACAGCATAACATCTTTATCCAAATATTGGTTTTCTTATTACGGAGATTGTGTTTAAACCGCCAAAACAATTAGTGTCGTCAACCACCTCGGGAAGAAAGGAGATGTCGGTCAAAACCTACATTTCATGCGAAGAAAGGTTTATAAATTTCCTCAAGCAACAAGTATCATCTGTACAATGCAGCTGGTTGGTGTACTTCAGTTCCGTATGGGACAGTTGAGCTATTTGGGGTTTAGTAAATGTAAATGTTACTACAGGTCCGTATGTTACGGTAGAGCTAGTAGATGTTACTACAGTTCTGTATGTGTTACGGTAGAGCTAGTAGATGCTACTACAGATCTGTATGTGTTACGGTAACAGATGCTACTACAGATCTGTATGTGTTACGGTAGAGCTAGTAGATGTTACTACAGATCTGTATGTTACGGTAGAGCTAGTAGATGCTACTACAGATCTGTATGTGTTACGGTAACATATGCTACTACAGATCTGTATGTGTTACGGTAGAGCTAGTAGATGTTACTACAGATCTGTATGTTACGGTAGAGCTAGTAGATGCTACTACAGATCTGTATGTGTTACGGTAGAGCTAGTAGATGCTACTACAGATCTGTATGTGTTACGGTAACAGATGCTACTACAGATCTGTATGTGTTACGGTAGAGCTAGTAGATGTTACTACAGATCTGTATGTTACGGTAGAGCTAGTAGATGCTACTACAGATCTGTATGTGTTACGGTAACAGATGCTACTACAGATCTGTATGTGTTACGGTAGAGCTAGTAGATGTTACTACAGGTCCGTATGTTACGGTAGAGCTAGTAGATGCTACTACAGATCTGTATGTGTTACGGTAGAGCTAGTAGATGTTACTACAGATCTGTATGTTACGGTAGAGGTAGTTGATGTTACTACAGTTCTGTATGTGTTACGGTAGAGATAGTAGCTGTTACTGTATGTTACGGTAGAGCTAGTAGATGTTACTACAGATCTGTATGTTACGGTAGAGTTAGTACTGACTGACTGACTGACTGAGTTTGGTTTTACGCCGCTTTTAGCAATATTCCAGCAATATCACGGCGGGGGACACCAGAAATGGGCTTCACACATTGTGCCCATGTGTGGATTCGAACCCGGGTCTTCGGCGTGACGAGCCAACGCTTGGTAGAGTTAGTAGATGCTACTATATATCTGTATGTGTTACGGTAGACGTAGTAGATGCTACTACAGGTGTGTATGTGTTACGGTAGAGCTAGTAGATGTTACTACAGATCTGTATGTGTTACGGGGGAGCTAGTAGATGCTACTATAGTTCTGCATGTTACGGTAGAGCTAGTAGATGTTACTACAGTTCTGTATATGTTACGGTAGATTTTGAAAACATTACGACGTTTCAGTATATTTGAGTAGTGCCAGCGTATGTTATTAATACCGCTCCTTATGTGTAACAGCTTTACGCTAAGGAGACATCGTCATCCAGTCATGTAGCCATGGTTACGGTGTCAATCGACGTGCAGAAGACCCAGTCCCAGTGTAACCACGTTCCCATCGTCGGCTGACGTAGGTGGAACTCACGCTTTGTCAACTGAATGGAGAATGAAGACAGGTGCAGATCTTTCCTACGCAAAATATTTTGAATGCAACAAACAGTTGAGGGTGTTCCTTTGAATTATATGTATTCCTGTGAATTTGAAGTGACACATACGTTATACATAAGTTTATTTAGATAAAAGAGTGCTATTAAAACCTTCTTGAATTATAAATGTTCCTGTAAACACAAAGTCTTTTGTTTAGTATGTAAAAAACTACAAAACCTTTTCCTCATCCTTAAGAAATCATGGTAAATGAGCATGTGTTTGTTGATCACTGTCAAATAGTGGTTATTACCAGGGGTTCACGAAAAGGTGAGCGTATCCTGCCCCACCTGTGGCACCCGTCAAAAACAAATCTAAAAGCTATCATAAAACCTCTTAAAGAGTTTCACTGAGGCCTTGGGTGTTGTATCTTTGATCCAGCGCATTCCAGCGCATTAAATTGTTACTGTGATAGAACAGTGTTCCCTTGATTGCGTTCCCACCTTTCTTTCACGAACAGCTATCACCTGTATGTTACAGTAGAGCTGGTTAGCGTTATTACAGTTAAGTGTGTTACAGTAGAGCTGGTTAGCGTTACTACAGTTCAGTGTGTTACAGTAGAGCTGGTTAGCGTTATTACCGTTCAGAGTGTTACAGTAGAGCTGGTTAGCGTTACTACAGTTCAGAGTGTTACAGTAGAGCTGGTTAGCGTTATTTCAGTTCAGTGTGTTACAGTAGAGCTGGTTAGCGTTACTATAGTTCAGTGTGTTACAGTAGAGCTGGTTAGCGTCACTACAGTTCAGAGTGTTACAGTAGAGCTGGTTAGCGTTATTACAGTTCAGTGTGTTACAGTAGAGCTGGTTAGCGTTATTACCGTTCAGAGTGTTACAGTAGAGCTGGTTAGCGTTACTACAGTTCAGTGTGTTACAGTAGAGCTGGTTAGCGTCACTACAGTTCAGAGTGTTACAGTAGAGCTGGTTAGCGTTATTACAGTTCAGTGTGTTACAGTAGAGCAGGTTAGCGTTATTACCGTTCAGAGTGTTACAGTAGAGCTGGTTAGTGTTATTACAGTTCAGTGTGTTACAGTAGAGCTGGTTAGCGTCACTACAGTTCAGAGTGTTACAGTAGAGCTGGTTAGCGTTATTACAGTTCAGTGTGTTACAGTAGAGCAGGTTAGCGTCACTACAGTTCAGTGTGTTACAGTAGAGCTGGTTAGCGTTACTACAGTTCAGTGTGTTACAGTAGAGCTGGTTAGCGTCACTACAGTTCAGTGTGTTACAGTAGAGCTGGTTAGCGTTATTACAGTTCAGTGTGTTACAGTAGAGCTGGTTAGCTTTACTACAGTTCAGTTTGTTACAGTAGAGCTGGTTAGCGTTTCTACAGTTCAGTGTGTTACAGTAGAGCTGGTTAGCGTTATTACAGTTCAGTGTGTTACAGTAGAGCTGGTTAGCTTTACTACAGTTCAGTGTGTTACAGTATAGCTGGTTAGCGTTACTACAATTCAGTGTGTTACAGTAGAGCTGGTTAGCGTTACTGCAGTTCAGTGTGTTACAGTATAGCTGGTTAGCGTTACTACAGTTCAGTGTGTTACAGTAGAGCTGGTTAGCGTTATTACAGTTCAGTGTGTTACAGTAGAGCTGGTTAGCGTTACTACAGTTCAGTGTGTTACAGTATAGCTGGTTAGCGTTACTACAGTTCAGTGTGTTACAGTATAGCTGGTTAGCGTTACTACAATTCAGTGTGTTACAGTAGAGCTGGTTAGCGTTACTACAGTTCAGTGTGTTACAGTATAGCTGGTTAGCGTTACTACAGTTCAGTGTGTTACAGTAGAGCTGGTTAGTGTTATTACAGTTCAGTGTGTTACAGTAGAGCTGGTTAGTGTTATTACAGTTCAGTTTGTTACAGTAGAGCTGGTTAGCGTTACTACAGTTCAGTGTGTTACAGTAGAGCTGGTTAGCGTTACTACAGCTCAGTGTGTTACAGTAGAGCTGGTTAGCGTTAATACAGTTCAGTGTGTTACAGTAGAGCTGGTTAGTGTTATTACAGTTCAGTTTGTTACAGTAGAGAAAGCAGTCAATTGTTTCTACGACTGAACGGTGTTCCCGTGAATGTGTTCCCACCTTCATGTATGCACCAGTTGTCACCAATTCAATCCATGCTGTCTCATCAGTATCGTTTCTTCTATGCCCTTCAATAAAACCACACTGTTACCCCTTGAAAGTGACTTAAGACCACATTGAAGTTAATGTTTTGCAATGGCAGAGCCAAGATAAACCGTCGGAGAAATGACAGCATACACGTCGCAGGTCGCCTCTCATTGATAATTGTCGAGCCTTATGGAAAGCATACCCTCCATTCGCATGTTTTTATGCAAATTAAACACTCCCGTAATCTCTCATACACACTTCTGTGTAGAAATCCTTCGACGTTCAATATTCGATGCTCCCACGAACCATGATGGAAATCTGGAGAGTACACAATACCAAGACTGCTCAGACTGTACACATAGGTCATGGTGAATATGGCAGAAAGTACTCTCATCACCTCAAGATGATTAAAGAGTCACAATACCATCGCGGTACGATTTGTAGAGGGTCACAATACCATCATGGTCACACACTTTCACAACATCGAGATATATACTATATACCAGTACATAAAACAGATTTCACTTTGTAGATTGGATCGCTGTGCCAGTGGTGGTACGATCTCGATGCAGAACGCTAACGCTACCGATACGATCTCACTGAGGCCTTGACATTATCGCTAGAACTACATCGCATTATACTGGTATGTTCTTATGGGAAGTATTGTATGTGGGTGTTTTTTACATTCGTGTATGCAAACAGAAACATTTGATCTATGCTGGAACAAATAGTAGTATTCTAAAAAGTTTTATCGCGCTCTGATGGTCATAAATGCATGTTAATACATTTCCATGTTTGGCTCCATAAATCAATGTCAACAAATCAATGCCAATCCCTTCTTTGATCCGTTGGAAACTGGTTTTGTCGAAAACAAGGTATGGTGCGTAGACAGAGACTTTCCACTTATATCATGTGATACGTGGTTAGGGAAATCAAAGGCACCAATTGCTCTCCCAGCCTTTATTGAATTTCTGCACTACCGTGAAACGTCAGACATGTTCGTTCAATCGACTTGATCCAGTGTTTATGCTATATACATGCTGGGTTCATGGGCAGTTGGATGGTACACGGTGTGTGTGGTACAGACTGTCTTGTGAAATGTCTATTCCTGTTTCATTCAGGAGGTAACTTTTTCGCCAAATGTGAGGTGTTTCAAAGGAATATAGCTGTACCAGTACCACGACGACGTGACTTGTGGGATATATTCAATATTTCAGTTCTGTGAAAGTTGTTGAATTGGGACTGCTTGGCATCTCAACCACAACGAGAAAACAGTGCAGGTCAAAAACACATCTGTGCCAGAAGTAAACGTGGTTGATCCCCTGGATCCATCAAGCATTTGTGTGTGTGATGAAGAGTAAGCTCTATTAAGTTGCTGATACAGAAAAAGGATCAGATACTGTTCTTAGGTTCCCTCAGCTGACCCCCATAATGGATTACTTCTTACATCTGACTTTGCTTCTTGGGAGTGCGTCAGGACAGATTGTGATTGACATCAGCAAGGGGAAGACGTTGTCTGGTGATGTCCAGGCGTCACCAATCGCCATCAGTCCGATGCACTGTGCCACGTTGTGTCTGGTCGAGCCGCTGTGCCAGGCTTTTACAACAAAGTGTGATTGGAGATTCGGCTTTGATGTTGGATGTCACCTGTTTACCACCACAGATGGACAGACTACAGCACCTGGATCCTGCCTAGGAATGTTCAGCAACAGACCCAGTACGACATTTCCTGTTACAACTACATCAACGACCTCTGTCACCACAGCACCCGGAACAACGATCACTACATTTACTATAACCACAACTACCACACCTACAACCACCACAACCACAGCACCAGCATCTACAACAGCTGCAACTACAACTACAAGCACAACACCAACAACCACAAGTGAAACTACCACCATCACGCCTCCAACTTCAACCACAGCACCTATAACAACAACCACTACACAAACAAGTCTCACAACACGTACAACTACCACCACAACACCTGCAACAACGATCACACGTACAACTACAACACCTGCCACTTCTTCCACAACACCTGCCACTACAACCACGACACCTTCTACAACGACCACAACACCTGCAACAACAACCACTACCCAAACAACAACATCAATGCCTACAACCACAACACCTTTATCCACAACACCTGCAACAACAACCACCCAAACTACAGCACCAATGACTACAACTACATCACCTACATCCACAACTGCCACTACAACTACAACACCATCTTCAACGACCACAAGACCTGCAACAACAACCACCCAAACTACTACACCAATGACTACAACTACAACACCTTTATCCACAACTGCCACTACAACCACAACACCAATTCTACAACGACCACATCCACAACACCTGCAAACTAACCACCCAAACCACACACCTGCACAACGATCACACGTACAACTGACTACAACTACCACATCACCTACATCAACAACACCCAAACTACAACATCAATGACTACAACTACAACACCTACATCTTCAACTACCACAACACCATCTTCAACTACCACAACACCTGCAACAACGATCACACGTACAACTACAACACCTGCCACTACAACCACAATACCCGTTACTACGACCACAACACCTGCAACAACCACCCAAACTACAACATCAATGACTACAACTACAACTCCTACATCCACAACAACTGCCACTACAACTACAACACCATCTTCAACTACCACAACACCTGCAACAACAACCACCCAAACTACAACACCAATGACTACAACTACAACTCCTACATCCACAACTGCCCCTACAACTACAACACCTTTATCCACAACAACTGCCACTACAACCACAACACCTTCTGCAACGACCACAACACCTGCAACAACAACCACCCAAACTACAATATCATTGACTACTACTACAACACCTACATCCACAACAACTGTCACTACAACTACAACACCTTCTTCAACGACCACAACACCTGCAACAACGATCACACGTACAACTACAACACCTGCCACTACAACCACAACACCTGTTACTACGACCACCACACTTGCAACTACAACTACAACACGTAAACCTACTGTCACAGTCACGACCACAACGACAACTACAATTACAAAACCTACTGCAATCACAACAACAACAACCACAAGCTCAAAACCTGAAACTACAACCACGACTAGGACAACCATTACAAGATCAACATCTGCAAGTACTACAGTTCTGGTGGAATCATTCCTGTCGCCGCCAGAGTCTTTCAATACTGATGAACAGCCACGATGAAGTCGATCAAATTTGCACCACACCAAACGGTCACAATCTGTAATCATTCAGTTCCAAACGCAATGCTACCGCTGATGGTGCACAGGACAAAGCCAAATTAGTTCCACCAGGCCTTGAAATATGTATAATAGTGCTTACTGTGTGTGTGCAACTGTATCAGCGGTGTACCCATGCCATGGATGAGACAGATTTTCTGGAAACTGTGTATTAGAAGTTGTGTGTGGATCAACATCCCTGAACAGCGTGAGGAAGAACATGCCATTGCACATCTTTGTATTTCCGTGCCTAGGATCTCACCCTGTGCATGCTACTCAGCAATTTAACCTCTCACTTCTGTGTAAGCACATAAATCTAAAGTGTGCAAGTTTGTTCCCTCTTGACGTGTTCCGTACTATGCTCTTACATCGTTGTGCCTTAGCTATATGTATCTCACCCCAAATGTGTAGATATAGACCACTGAGTGTGTAAGATCTATACATGTTCTTAAAACATTGTTTTCACATGTAATTACAGATAAAACCCTTGTTATCTGTGTCCTCTGCATTCACTTTCCATTGCTATACGTGTAAATGTGTATGCCGCACTGAAATGCTCAATGATATGAATTCATTTCAACTCATCACTTTATTTAATCATTCTAAAAAATATCAACAAGAAGTTCCACATCACGATTCATTTCACGGAAAAAATACAAATTTCGTTTAAATACTTGCATCAACATGTTCCATAAATATATATAACAATTCCACATAGCCTAAATTTATCACACAATAAGAATGTACATGTCCAACTCAATTCAACAAGGATATCAACAATATTTGACAATCTGAGTATGTCATAAAATAATAACCAAATGTTATTGCTCATCGAGAAAATAATGTAAAATGCATTGTCCCATTCACTTATCCGATTTGCATCAATACATCTGGTAACCAGCCTCTAGCACTTGGGTTTAAGTACAACTTAACCTATGGAATGAGGACGACACACAATGCATGAGATTATCCCGTAAAGAGGAACTGTGTGGCACCATTGGAATATCTCGTTTTCAGCTCCAGTGGGTCTTTAATACTGACTACGCACTTGCCTACTGTTTTTATGTACGGTGTGGCGGATGTCCTAAACAAGCGCCACCATTTTTGTCATGCACACGTCTCATCATTCTTCATTAAGTTCCCTGTCGCCGCTTCTTAAAACGTGAGTGAGTGAGTTTGGTTTTACGCCGCTTTTGGCAATATTCCAGCAACATCTCGATGGGGGACACCAGCAATAGGCTTCACACATTGTACCCATGTGGGGAATCGAGCTCGGGTCTTTGGCGTGACGAGCGAACGCTTTAACCACTAGGCTACTCAACGCCCCTCATAAGAAGTTCCAAAACATTCGAGCTTATTCTATGTTATAAGAAAGTTAACTGGTAGCGATTGCTAGTGGCAGCAGGGTGATTGAAACCCGAGGAAAGGGTGGGGCGCTGCTGGCGACAAGACGTGGTTAGAGTTATCTGCCCCTGGCTGCTGTAAAAAACATGGCCGCCTTGGTCGCTCGAGAAGTTTAGTGAAGGTCGGCTGCACCTATATAAGAGCTAGGCCATAAATTACATCTTTTGTATATATGTCTATACTCTAGATTCAAGAAAATTGAAGACACGCAGCAGTTACAACATTTTGGTGCATTTGTGAGTGCCTTGTCATCATTAAATAATACTTTCGGGATTTATTTGATCCACTGTCCTTTTTTTCACTCATAATTCTTTTATCTCATTGTCCTTTACGGACATTTTAGTTCTATACCAACCTATTTCTGGGTTAATCTTGGCGATGCAATTTAGAAATCACGCTGTAATTAACAGCTGTCAGAAATAATATTTGATCACCTAATGTTTTCCGTTTTTGACGTAGATATTTTCTCCCGCGTGCTGCATAACATTCGCCAATATTACCATGTAAGATCACCTAGAACAGAATCAAAGTGTTCTAACTCACATTTGGCTTCCGTTTTATTGTGCCTGAGACTAACCATTTATGTACCTAGAATAATACTACTGACTACATCAACAATTACTGGATAGTACATGTCTGAGTGACGCATGGAACGTATTGATATAAACACATATATACATTTTACACAACAAATTGATCGGTAGGCAGCATCCAAGAGAAGGTATGTAGGATATATAACTAACACTCTTCAGTGTTCACGGTTACAATGTAGCGTCAATGCTATGTATTCTGTCTCTGGTCCTTGACATATCTGACTGATGCAGTCCAAGTACTGCCCGATTCAGCTACACATACTTGAACAACGACGACATCACCAAGCCGCCCAATGGCTAAGCACCATATCACACAAACTCATTCGTTGTAACGTCAATGACTATCAACGATTGTCATATTTTCATAAACTTCTGACATATCGTGTAACATGCAATTAATCTAAATTTGTGCGAAAGCAGTACGAAAAGAAAACAACTATATACAATCATCTCCCTTAGATGAAATGCCATCACTTCATCAACATTTCAAGTCCATATTGGGACTGGATACGTGTCCATAGTGTTAAGTAGATGTTATGACGACACGTGCTATCGGGCAATTTGGATGGTTGAATTAGATCCGCATTCATAGGGAAATGAATTCATGGGTTAAATGATTAAATATCAGCAGCATGGAAGAGACAGAAGAGAAATCTTCAACAGTTAAAATGGGCAGAGAAACGAAATTACAAAAGTCGAAAAAGGGTTATTGTAAATAACTAAGGTCAATGTCTTGTGTCTGACGTAGTCATGACTCTTCCTCACCCACTGTAATATTAGTGAGGAAAACAGTAATGTGTATACAGTAACTAGATAGCAGACTGTAGGACGACATACATTTTCTAATGTCATATACCATTTTCAACTCATTACAAATATGAATAAACACTCTGTTGTATAAAAGGAACAGGTGAAAATCTGTATAGATACAAACAAACAGGAAACAAAATCGCCATGCCATGGTGAGCATTCTTTCATGAGGATGAATGCTACTTTCTATCAAACCACCGCTTACAGTGCCAAGCTGCCTCTCATAAGTTACTTGAGTATGCGTCATTACGTAATAAGCATTTATCGGTCAGACTGTCTACTTATATGCATGTGTAGTCCATGGTAATGGACAAATATCGTGTTATTATCACCCGTGAGGTATTGACCATGAAGAATTGCCGTGCTTGTCATTTAGAAGGTTACAATTCCAGACATGATGTTGTCCAGTAAATCTTATAGATAACATCTACAGTCTCGAACGTTGTAACTAGTGTTTGACAGGTAAGGGCAATAGGCATCCAGACTATGTTTGACAGATAAGGGCAAGAGGCATCCAGACTATGTTTGACAGATAAGAGCAAGAGGCATCCAGACTATGTTTGACAGGTAAGGGCAGGCGGCATCTAGACTAGATGATTGACTGTTATAGGCAAATAACACCTAGACTAGATGTTTAAATCTCAATGTTTAATAATTTTCCCTCTAGCAGTTCAACAAGGCAAATGTCAATATTGACAACTTTTAAAGATAACACCTTCTATCATTTCGTCTCGTCAGTTCGACGTCACAATGGTACACGAATCTGTGTCTACACAGAAAGCAGGTTGTTACCCATGAACATTTGTCAATATAATACTTCCCAACTACTTCTAAAATTCCACTAAAGTAGGCAAATATCCTTTTGTCTAGATGTCGGAATGTTGAAGGCCGTACGTGGATGTGTATGTGCCGCTGTCGTTGTCACTGACATTGTCTTCCATGAGAGCCTCCTTGTCCTTCCGTCTCGTTTGCACCGTATCTGCATGGTGTCTGAGGACGTCGTCCAAGGCGGGGTTCATGTCATGAACGGTCATGTAGCCGTCGTATTCGTCTATCCTCATCATCACCTCCTGCTCGTCTACAGTCGCCACATTAGCTGGCTCGCCGTTGTCCACCACGTTGTTGTCCAGGCTGTCGCTGTCACTGAAACGTCCATGAGTGGAAATGATGTTGATGGTATATATTCAGATGACCTAACTCTATTGGTAGTGCGTGTACAATTACGCGTGATGTTAGGTGGTGACACCATATGGAGATGACGGAAGTTAATGCATGATTAACTTCTCTATTATCATACTAGCGACGTTTCGGTATAGTTTCTTTTACCGTTTTCAAGCATATCATTTCATATGCTTGAAAACGGTATAAGAAGCTATACCGAAACGTCGCTACTGTGGAAATAAAGAAGTTGATTATCCTTAAGGTTTTGTCATCTATACCACCAAGTTCTTGAATGCCACACAAACAAACCACCCCGGGACTTCAAGAATGGGTTTTCCTAGTGACGGGTGCAGTTACCAACTACGGTCGATGAGGTACAACGTACTGTTATGTATTATGTCACATATAGAACATATATCAGGGACTTTATCTAACTCGTCCTCTCCTTGTGACTGCTTACAGAAACCTGATATCACATATCAAGCGTATGAACGTCATGTCTTATGAATATTAAAAACTGCATTGTAGTCTGATTTGTAAGAATGACCCATCATTCACAATGAAAGCTCTTACTATCACTCTGCCATTTCGTGGGGCTTTATTGTATTTTGTGTTTTTACCCCGGGTGCGTGTGCACACAACAGGCATACTTGCACGCACCTTCCTGTATATATTTTGTATATATATACAACATAATATTACAACAGGGTGACAGAAACATACATACACAGGGTCATACATTATACTGTTATGTGGTGATGTTGTCATTGTGTGGCAAGCGGATTGCATTCTTTCTGTTTACATTCAGTAGATGGCAGTGGTGAGCTACATGTAACTGTGTGCTATACTTAGACCGATAGTTCTGGAACGCACTACAAAGTACTGCAACAACATGGGCATATCCAGTCTAGTTGCTTCAGTCGTCACATCTCGCACTACAAGAAGACCAGCAGTCTTATGAAGATCACTTTCACCCTTGATGCTCACTGACAGCCTAGGCCTGTTTTGGAAGCTTGGCGAGTATTGCAGTGAAGAAATATTATCACCACCGTCCCAACTTGTTTTATAATCACTGTTTTTAAAATATATTGCCATCTGATTTGTACTGCCACTCAATTTTGTATTGCCATTGTGATTTGAATTGATTTGTAAACTTAGTAACTTTAAGGAGGTTGCATACAAAATATCAAAATGTCAAGAAATTGCTAAATTTGGTATCATTTTGTAGAAAAATGTGTCCCGAATCTAATTATGCATTAAAAATAGCATTTGTTTGAGAAGTGGCGCCCCCTTGTGGCACCGTCTGTAAAAAGTAATCTGTCAATAAAAGTTCTCTAAAAAGTAATTTGTTTACTTTTATTATTTCATATAAGATTTTTTATACAGATATTTCAGTATTGATATGAATTAAAGCAGGAAAATCAATTTTCAAGGCAGTATGTAGGATTTGACACACGAATTAACTTCTAAACAAACAGGAATTTAAAAACAAATATGGAATCATCAATGAA